GTTCAAGTTCCCGTCGTCGGTGTCCAGGCGCATCTTCGCCCGGCATTCCTCCAGCTTCCGGATCATCCACTGGATGTAGTCCTCCTTGGGGACGCAGGACAGGAGCCCCTTCACGTCCTCCGCTCCCACGAGCGACATGAGCACTGGAGACACATTGCAAAAAAAGGGACAACATTGCAAGAAGGGCCAACATTGCACGAAGGGGGAAATATTGCAAGCGGGGCCAACATTGCACGAAGAGGCAACATTCCACGAAGGGACAACATTGCATCATGAGCAGAAAACCGATTCCGCCACTTAATTGTTTCCACTATAAGAAGCAGTAACAAAGAAATGCGTAATAATTAAGGAGCCTTAACGAAGAAGCTGCCAATGAATTAAGCGCGCGCAAACGCATATTTCCGCATATTTTCTCCATCCCTCACGATCGACAGTGGTGGAGGTGGCTCGGGCCCTGGCGCAAATCCACGAAGCCAATTACCCTGAACACCTCCGAAGGATCTACTTCCTCAACAGTAAGGGCTGAATCACGTTCCTTCCTTACTTTTTTGCTTAACAGTTTTTGCTTAACATTTTCAGTCCTTTTTTTTACGCCTCCCTTTTTTCAGATCGCTAAATTATCGACTTTATTGGAAATTACAGTGCATTTTAATATTTTATTGTGAATATTATTTAAAAGTATGGAAACATTTTAAAGGACGCACTATTGCGTCCACGGTCGTCTAACGACCGTGGACGTCATTTATACGCCGATCAGACCGAAAGTGCCGACAAATCGACTCCGAATGTCGTCCCCAGTGCCACGACTCTTCTCGATGGCCCTGAACCTCGTGAAGCAGTTCATCGGGCCGGACACGCGAGAGAAATTCGTGTTCCTCGGCGGGAAGGAGGAATACGCGCCCGTCCTGACCGCGGCGATCGCGGCGGAATTCCTGCCCGAGTTCTGGGGCGGGACCAGGGTCGACGAGGACGGGGATCCGAGATGCCCGAAGCTGGTGCGTTTCTTCCGTCGTCTGGGACGACCGATACTATTAGTCAAGCGCTGCTTGATGTAGCTTTAGTAAAAATCGCGTTGCGATCTGAAGAAGTTTATAATACGTGCGAATTTATTGTGGTATAAAAATATTTCATGGAAGTGGCACATGAGAGAAGCCAGTTTTTTTTTCGAAAGGTTCTATCGAGGGAACGGAGTGGGAACTAAAATCCCTTCATGGGGAAGAAACCCCCCCCTGATACGCCACTGAAGAGCTGAATCTGCAAAAAAAGTGGGATATAAATATTTGCGGAAACGCGATTCGCAGATCGGGAAAGGCGGAAAAGTGCCCAAGTCCTTCTATCGGACGAAGTACGCGAAGGAGGCAGAGGAGGAGGCAGATGACGAGGCGAACGGGTTGGATGGGGGACGACGAGCGGCGATCCTGCAAGATCGGAGAGCCGTGCGCCTGGAATGCCAAGTCGAACATCCGGGATCGATTCTCAGGTATCATCCGGGATCGCTTCTCGGGTATCATCCGGGATCGCTTTTCGGGCATCATCCGGGATCGCTTCTGGGGTATCATCCGGGATCGCTTTTCGGGCATCATCCGGGAACGCTTCTCGGGTATCATCCGGGATCGCTTCTCGGGTATCATCCGGGATCGCTTCTCGGATATCATCCAGGGTGGCGATCGCGTCCACAGGGATGAGCTTCGTCATCGTCGTCCAGGCTCGAGTTCTTCGCGAGTCATTGGGGAAATTCATTCCTGCTCCCCGTTCAAATCACTTATTTTCTTTAACGAATGAGCTCGCTCTGGGTTACCATAATATCTGCACGAGTTTCGAACTTAGGAGGAAATCGGACACTGCAAGTAGTTCCTGGTTTCTTGGTTGGTGCTTCCAGTAAGGAAATGCAGAAATAAGAAGATGGAAAAAAAAATCAGACTCAGAGTAATTGAAGAACGCCTGTCCCTTATTGCTATCTTTCCCGCATGACAAGGGTATCATGGCACAGATGCAGTTCCCAATTAGATGCCATCACTGGCTGCACTTAAAATCCTTCCTGATGCCATAAATTATTATTTTGTATATTTCTAATTGTAACATTCGAACTTTCTTTTTTTATCATCTTCTCCAAATTGCATCGGACATTGGGCCGAGAAAGACGCGGCTTCTGATGCGAAAAAGCTGGCTTTCTCGGAAATTAGATGCGAAAGAAAGAACTAGGAAGGACCTGACCCGTTCGCAAACGAATCAACTTTTTCTGTTGCCCACTCCAACACATTCCCCACAAATATAAATCTTGCGTTCAAGTTTGTGCACCCAAGTGGACAATTTCGTAATAATTTTCTCGGAGAGTGAATTCCCGGTGGATATTAGAAAGAAGCAGGCTCCTAATATACAATTACATATGAATATAAATATAATATAATAAATATAAATATAATAAATATAAATATAATAAATATAAATATAATAAATATAAATATAATAAATATAAATATAATCAATATAATATGCAATTACAATTGAATGGCAACCTGGATGGATCGTCTTGATGATGTTTCCCTTCGCCACAGCTGGGAGTTCTCCACGGAGGCCGGAGGGGTGAAGTACTCCGTGCTGCGGCTGAAAGGCGGGGCGAAGGGCCACCGAGTGAGGGAACCGGAGTGGGTGGACAGCCACCTCCGGGCTGTCTCGGGGGAGGTCGTCCTTCGGGAGGCTGGGCTCTACTGCCTCCAGCTCCGCTCCAAGCTCGCCAGTGACAAGCTGAGCTATTTGCTTCTGGCTAGTCCTCTTGATCGCCTGTGATCGCTACAGATTATTAGTGAATACGCCGGAATGCTTGTATTTTATGTGAAGCATCTACATATTCGTGCAATGTACGAAAAGGTTGACCTCAAATGAAATGAGTAATGCATAAATTTCACAGAATTCATGTCGAATTTAAGGTGTTTCTTTTTCGGTTTTTACTCGAACGTCCTTTGCATCGCACAATATTTTTGTTTTTAAGGCATTTTAGTTGAGGAAAGAACCATATATATATATATACTGTATATATATATCTGTGTGAGTTAAAATTTGAATAAAGGAAAAACCGCGAATCCTTTCTCATTATGGCTACATTTTCTGTACATAACATTACATTCCTCTTGGCTTGACGATCATGGAAAAACGATAAAATGACCTGGCACCTGCTATTAAATATTGGCCATGAGAGTTCGTGCGTCAGCATCGAAGCTCTGTCGAAGTCCTTCAGTAAAGTTCTTTTGAAGAGTTCCATGAACCTTTTCAGTTTTCTAACAACAACTTCGGAGACTGAATTCCATTTTAATTTCAGGGCTGCAGGAATCGGCATCGTCTGTTTCACTTCTGCTCCACCACGCTCGCCTTATTGAAATCATTCTCACTTCGACCTTGGTATCGTCGGAAGCGAAATTTCGTGTCTACTAATATATATATATATATTTATATATACTAATGGAGTGACAGGCGGGTGAGTCCCAGGGTTTGTCATGGCAAGAGAACGTCGCAACAAGGATACGTAAGTGTTCATTTTTGCAAATCCCAAACCGGATCGAAAGAGCCTGGAATGAGTTACAATCCATGGGAGATTTATGTTCAGAGGCAGCTCAACTACTGAGAAAGAGAAGCGGGATCTTCCTGGAGCAAGACGTTTGAATTGCATCAGACATTATTTCCCCACTCATTCAAAATCATTTACTACAACATCTGAAGCCAAAAAGAATCAGGTGTGTTGTAAGCATCCGGACCCGATTTTGCGATGAGCATGTGAAGACCCAGGATACTCCCATATTAAGAGCGATTTCTAGATTTGTAAAAAAAAAATTTTCTTACAACATTTCGCAATTTTTGGGTGAGGACATCCTTCCACTGCCTCCAACTCCGTGTTACTCCTCTTTCTCCCTCACTTCATTGCTCGAGTGGGATGATTGCGAGAAGGGACTGACTGGCACTTGCAGCCAATAGAGGACCTCGACCAGTGTCAGCCTTATAAAGGAAGCTATGGACCATTGTGACACGAAAAAATATCTTATTTTCTGACGCGTAAATGTTTATAGTACTTCAAGTTTCTTCACCGAATGCGTACCATCGTGAAATGAGGTTTGTTGAAGTACTTCTGTAATGTCAATATGAGACAAAACACGAGCAGATGTGGTTTTCGCATTAACCACCTCACCTATCCAGCGTGCTCTGATAAGGGGATAATAGCCTCTAGATTAGGGGCGATTGCTATGACGCAGCTTTGAAATGTTCACAAGAGATTATTCATAATCCGACTGTTACATTGTGATATACAGTATATGCGACCCATCGTGTTATTCTAAGTTTTAGGCAGAATGTCTGCAGGATTAGGGGGAGCTGCCGGTGTTCAGAGAATCGGGGACACTTGGAAAACGCGCTAAAAATTTTGCGCGGGGAAAGTTCTGGCTCGAGAAGCTTCACAAGCGGGTGCATGAATCGTCGCCATTCGTGGCATGTATGAGATAACGCATGAGGAGGAACGGAATCGCATCCGCATGTGTGGGCACCTGAGGTCACCGATGCAGCGGATTGTTCTCCGGTAAATTGCCCTTTCGCAATGCTTTCCTCATCTCGATTTCTTCAACGATGAGAAGCGCAGAAACGCGAGACGTGTTGAGGGACCTTGGCAGCGGCAGGTAAGGGAAGCCGTGAAGTTAAAAATTGTTTCTGAAGAAAAGCCTAAATCGAGGTGATACTTCAAGCAGAATTCACTTCAAGCTGAATCCCGAATCACGCGTGAGCCACGTATCTCGACCGAGATCTGGAAGATGGCGGCGGATACGGATGAGACAGATAACATATCACGATGGGGACTCACGTCACTCCTCCGCTCGAAAGTAGATAGGGAAAGATAAATAAGGAGGGAAAAAGGTGAGGCAGACACTCGGCATGCTACCGTGAGTCGGTCAACTTGGCGACGACTGGATCGTTTCAAGTACTGTCTGAATCAGTACCAGTACTGATTGCATCCTGGAGCGATGGCGCGTTCGTGCGTGCTTGCCAGCGCCTTTCTCGTCCTTCTCCATTGCTCTGCAGGTAAGGCATCCTTCGAGCCGGTATTTCTTTTGTGCTTCCAAAAACTTGAAATATAGACACGATGAAGCAGAAACGATAATTCATTTTACTGGCGTGGAGGAATCGCAAAATTCGGAGTAAGAAGACCTGATAGATTCGCATTCACTTACATGCTGTATTACGAGATACTTGATTTAAAAACATTCTTAAGGCGCATATCAATGCATTCATTTGCCATGAATATTGATGCCTCACGTGAGGCATCACGTGAGGCATCACGGATCGCTCTGAGGATGCCAAAGAGACGTAGGAGCATTGGAAAGTTAGGCAGTAATCGAATGAAGTCTGACGAAATTCAGATCTATTTCGGTTGGTGAAGTAATATATCAGTGAAATATGTTGTAATGTGTGCAAATGATGGAAGTAAAATATATAGTTAAAGGGTAAGAATAATATGACTAATATGATATGGATAAGAGGTATTTCATGAAACAATAGGGTAACAAATTCCTCTTCGCCAGAGGTGCTTTGAGTTAAAACAACAGTGAAAAATAGGTTCCAGGATGAAATCGAAACCGATGAGCATTTCAGAAGGGGTGGATTTGAAATATGATGATTATGAAATGCAATGAGCCAAACTATGGGAAAAGCACCTGTGTTCAATATTAAGTCATAAGCATTGGGGCATGAGACGCTCTTTCATAGCAAATCGGCCATCGCGGTGATGCCGTGAGGGATGTTGCATGAACGTGCAGCCACATGTGCTAATTCTACCACTCCAACGCTTGGAGCGCTGCTGTTCGAGGGTGTTTTCATGAGGCGTTTCTTTGGTTCTTCCTTGTGGCAAAGGAAAATTATGATTACGTGTCCTCCGCAGCTGCATGTCAGAATTATTTCTGAATAGTTCCCTATGGAATTGGATAGATATCATTCTTGAAATAAAGCATTAAAAAAATGATCGCAAGAGCTGCAGTGAAATTTCGATTTGTTATTTCTCAACAACTATCAAGAGGTAATAAAATTGCGTTTCTGAAGGAAATTCCTTCGTTCCTGACCCCACTTACTCTATTCGTATTTGTCATGTACAATAGATAATGCGACCTACTTCTCAACCGCTCACGTTATTTGTTTAAGGTAGTCAGCATCTGTACTTATCATTTTGCTTTCCTCTCAGAAGACTTTCCGGTTCATTCGCAAATTTATTTATCGTACGAAGGGGATGACTCGAAGATATCATGCTACGTCTGCCGTCCGACCATCGAGAAAACCTCGGCGGACCGTACCAGAGCCCAGGAGATCGACAACTTGATCACGGACACATTCGACAACTCGTTCCCCATCCCCGAATGCAGTGCCATCCCGGACCTGTCGGACGCGGAACCGGCCAAGAAGGAATGCCGCTTCAAGGAGGCCGTCTGCGTCAAGGAAGGAAACGGTGGGAAGGTGCATGGGAGGGGGGAGGGGCATGCATGCGAGAGGTTTGCTTTATCGTTTTGAAGACAATGAGGTCTTTCTTCGTCATATCATCGTGAGATGATGAATGTCGGCATACAACAGCCCATTGCTAGTTTATCAGACGATGACTAAGATAAGAACTCCTGTTTTTATCTCCACGTAATGATATTAAAAGTGTCTGAGAAGAAAGCACATATACCCGATGACACTTTATCTACTATGATCCATATATATTTGTAGTTTCCAAACAGACTACTCATACATTTTATAAAACAAGTGTCGAGCTCTGAAAGCGCATGAGCTTATCATAGGAAGACTCATAAGTCACCCCACATTGGATTGTCAGTAAGGAGATGTGATTCGTTCTTTGACACTTGCAGTATCGGTGCATGATGGAAACCTTTCACTGAAAGACTTCGCCATCGCCAAGAAGTATTTTCACGAAATGCATATGAACATCATCCTATTAGACCGATTCGGGAATTTCTTCTCAGCTGGTTCGCTCATGGCGGTGAAGCTAGGGCCGAGAAGTCCATGAATAAATATTTGGCGTTTCTTTCAAGCAGTTAAAAGTCAAGGGAAGTGTCTTTGCATACAACTCCGACGCCTAGATATGTCTTGTCTAGTTTCGGTGGTTACCTCGTATGAGAGGAGTAATCGTGGAAGGGAGATGGGAGATGGAAGGGAGACCATGGAAATAAAAAGTTATTGTGGAAAGATTTAATATGGATCTTTTAACTTGTGTGCAGGTGACTGGACAGCAAGATACTGTCAAGAGAACTTCAAGGACGATGATGACGATTGCAACACAAATAATGGACTGACCAAGTGCGTCTGCGACGGCGACTACTGCAACCCGGCCTCCCTTTCGCGGATCAGCCCATTCCTGCTGCCGTTCGCCTCCCTCTCCTGGATGGTAATCCGATTCCTGGATGTGTGAAAGGAAGCCTTGGGACACTTGGGATGCACTTGTACCCAACGGCAATTGAGACCTGTCCTGTAAGGAATCTGTGAAGCACTCTGTTTCCTATCCAATCTTTCCGTGGTGCCTTTACTAACGAGAAATAAAATCGTCTACCAGTGAACTCGTTCATGCCACGTAGAGATCGGAGCCTGCAGAACGCTCTAGGTAATATTTCATTAACTGGTCAAAGAACTTGAAAACTTATTGAGATTTTCCACTCCATATGTATGCTTTCATTTAGCTAGATCTATTTCTTTGCTTCCTCTGACGAAACTTTTTGACACCGTTCCTTTGATTGCACGATGTACTTCATCATTCTCCAATGCGCATGAGGCCCCACCAACTCTGTCACTAAATGATATTATTTCTGTAATTTAACCCGAGTATTGCTATTTCGGTTCATCGCGAAACCTGTCTCTTTATGAGTTTGGGGTACTCGGGGCGGACCAATTGTTAGAAAATGAATTTTCTTCAGGTTGAATTAATCATGAATACACAGAAGTTAAGTAAAGAGGAAAATACAGCGTATCCTCATCAGAATCAAAAGTTTCACAAAAGAAAAGTTTCAGTGTAATGCGCTTATAATGACCGCGCAGCTCTTAACGTATTCGTTATTGGCGACAAGGAAATATATTGACGCTGTCCTTTAAATAAATGTTCTCCTATATCATGGGCTAGTTAAGAGCCGTATACCAAAAAATATGCAACGGATGTGGACGGCGATGAGTTCAGGACCAGACGGTGCTATTGGTGCTGATTCAAGTAGGTGCAGATCCGTGCGTCGGGGACATTATCATCATCTTTCAGAATGGATATTCTCCTTCCCCTCCCGAAAGAGAGGAAGAAGGGCTGGTTCATCAAAATCCTCAGTGGCATCATAAATCCCTCTTTCTTCGGCTTTCCATTTCTTGCTCATTGAGTCATCCTGAGAATCACGAGGAAAATTCTCTGAAATATCGGCACAAAAATGAGCTTCGGTTTTGGTCGGAGCTGTTTCCTGAAAACTTTCCTGACTTAGCTCTCTGACATGAGACAAGGGATAATATATACATGCCGGGACTTTCCGTGTCTCTGGCTATCAGTGACATGTCCGTATCGATCCCATGATCAATGTCGATAGTATATTTGACTTCAGTCTCTGTTGAGCAAATACTAAAATGTTATGCAGGAGTAAAATAATATAACTCTAAGCATAAGGTGATGACGAGATGGTAATGAAAATGCAAACGATTGATTTTTGTCCACACTATGAAACACTTACACCAAAATCCAGAGAGCCACCCCTTTCCTGTCCTCACCTTCTGCACCTCTGGAGAGATTTCTAAAAACAGTTTTTCCTGAGTGAGGGCAAGAGTGGTCTGGAAATGATTTCATGAAACGAGGACTTAAACGTAGACAGAAAACATCAATAAGCCTGGAAAGTGGTATAACCAAATTATTAATGTTTCTGCTGAGGAGATGAAAATGGGATTCAAAATAATAATGAAAATTAGACAGATGGTTATGTTCTATCCAGTCATTATTTTTGCCTCGGGATAGACATCTCACCATTTATTTTACTAGAAGGTCAATGCAGTTTTCTCGGTCTTGCCGAGATACTCATATTGCCCTCTAGACAATAACTCACGAATTCCATAAAATTTCAGATCGGCTGACCTCGGTGGGCAGAGGCGTGGCACGGGGGAGAAACAACAAAATGGATGGAATTGATGAACATATCCTTTTTCCACGTTGTAACACTCATAACTTAGGCATATGTCAAACGGAATTCATGATTATCTATAATAACTACATTACATTACGCCAAGGACATGATGGAGATCCTCCATGATATTTTTGTCCATCTGATGCCAGAGAGCCAACAAATGCAAACGATATCTTATGAAATTCATAAGCAGGGTTCACACATTCTTAAGACGAAATCACACAGCATGAATGCACTTGTATAAATGCAATGTCCCTTTTTGAAGGGAAGGGGAACTTGGTTTAAAGGGCTATCATTCAACGTTGAGGGCCATCAGGAAGAAAATACGTAATAAGACTACAATTCGAATCCGGAGCAAGCAATCTTTTCTCTGTTGGATAATGGATCGTTTCGGCTTCGTTTTCATGAAATCTCATTTTCCTATGTAACTTTTGAAGCTTTTGTCATGCAAACATTGCCTGTTTATTTTTCCAACTCAAATACAGTATTCATCATATGATATCCTAGTCTATTGTATTGACGTTGCACTCATACCCCGAAGGTGTGAAAGATACCGATCAATACTCTTTTCTGATTTGAAAACCTTTGGCTGTTTCAAGTGACGATGAAATGTCGTGACAACCCATTTAATTGCCACGCTTAACCTGCACATGAATTAACTTAATTTCCATATAAATTCTTGAAGCAAGAGGTTTATCGATGCCAGCTTCTCCATGCCAAATAAAAATTGTCCTGCCAATATATATTTCATTTCCATCGGCTGATTGGATAGGAAAGTCAACAACTCCTCAGCTCATATTCCGTAGAATAAATAAGGTTATCTATGCATTGTGCCCGTAATATTGATATTCAGAGTAATAACTTCTAGATTAGCTGCATCGCATTTCGACAGATTCCGGTATCTGGCACCATATGTACTTTGTATATCAATACATAACTGTTCAATAGTGGCAGATTATTGGTCCGGTTCTGGACCAATATTAGCCCAGTTTTTAGCAGGTGGTAATGCCAACATATGCCAATATTCGACGAAATATTCGGAAAAATCTGCATACGGACTAGGCAGCCATATTGTGGCAATATTGGGGTGCCAATCCTCGTTGCATCATATACTGTATTGGCCAAATTGGATCAGCATTGGGTACATGGGCTGCATCTTTGCCAAAGTAACCAGCATCAGATAAATATTGGCGAAGCAAGATTTCCCAATATTGTCATTCCATCATAGATCTAATATCGAACCAATACTAGCATCCACGAAAGTGCCATTCTTTCTTTTGATGCAATCGTCCCTTACTAGGAGCGTTTGGTACGCGCGATATGCTTCGCCTCGCCTAATTATTTGAATCAATGAACGTGGAGGCTTGGTCATCTATTATTCCCTCATTTCCAGACAGATTAATGGAGCCCGGGCCATATACAAGCTTGTATTCCCAATTAGAGGTCATTACAAAAGCTACCCAAGTCTCCAATAATCTTAGAACACAATAAATAAGAGGGTCTTAGCTTGCTTTTAATGCGGAGGAATGAATATTGGGTCAGCGGACACTATTGTGCATTCAGGAATAGGGAACTGCATAGGGAACTTTCTGCTGAAACGAACTATATCCCCTGACTATCCACAGTATCTGCAGTATACTGTGGATTGAAATATTTCTCTAATAACTGAATGGCTGAGGAATTAATTAATTAATCTGTTGCAGGAGGATTCGCCTGTTGCTCTATCTCATGGATTTATGGCTCATAAAATAAAGAGATTTCCAGGACAACCAAGCCAGACCAGAGGACGTGATGTGAGAGTATCATACTCCAAACTACTTCATATAAACAAAATATATATTGATATATTCTTCCCTCTTACAGCACTGTAAAAAAAAAACAAGCAAGAGACTCCCAGACTATAACTCGGAATGCAAGTAGAAGAAGCTGTCTCGCTTATGCCTATCTTTCTTTCTTCTTTCTGGAAATACCAGCCCATTTTTAGGTCGGATTTTTTCCCGTGCAAGCTTACATTCCCAGGGCGATTCAAGACGGGATTTTACCAATAATACCTAATTGTCAAAGTACGTCACTGGCTGATTGTCTCTCTAATGCAGTCAGATTACACGTTCAATTGTGTTAATCGAATTTCAAAACATAAAAATTTCTGAAATGTGCGAAATACACGGACAGATATATCACGATGGAAAACCATCTCCAAGGTTTACACTCTGGTCAGACCCTTGAAATCATGGAGGACTTGGAACCGGCCCTGCGCATTTACCATTCGTCTCGAACGGCCATTCTAGGGAGTTGTGCCGCTTGGCACACGGAGTCGCTGGCAATTCATTCGGCAGCATTGATGGCATTCGTCCCATGCATGTGGAATTGAGCGAAAGACGATACAGTTCCACCACCACTTCTGCAATGGCAATGAACGTTCGCCCATGAACATCGCTGTGTCCATAAAAAAGCATGAGAGATAGTCATGGCGAGAGATTGCTATGACAAATAAATATTATTGTCTATTTTTTACATTCCCTAAGTAGATGAGTTGGGCATGGAATTAGCTTTGATTCGTGAGAGTTTTATGTGCAAAGGCAACTCAACAACTGAGATATGAATGCAGAATCATCGTGATACAATACTTTTGAATCGCTTCAAAGGTGGTCGTCCAAAATTGATTCCACACTCGCCTACAATAATCTCGAATTCGTTACCTTCATGAGTTTACTTAGGAGGGAAATGGAATCTCATTCTGACGCGTCGCTGTGTGCGATCACTGATGCAGCGAAATGTTTTTCTGTCAATTGCACTCTCGCAATGATTTCTACATCTAGATTTCATCGACGATGGGAAAGGAAATAGAATGTTGTACGTCTTGAGTACGTTTGGCACTATCAAATATGGGAAGCCATGGAATAAAAAAAAGAATTTCTGCGGAAAAGGCGTAATTTGAGATGGTGTCAGAATGTGAAAGTGCGAGGAATCATTCACTTCACGCCGAGTCACGTATCACGAGTAAGTCAAGAATCTCGACTGAGGCCGCGAAGATCATGGCGGAGACGAATGGGACACGGATCGCATTCCACTCATGCCACTCCTCCGATCGATATTAGATAAGGAAAGATAAATTATGAGGGACGATTGCAGTGTCTGAAGCAGTACTGCCTGTGTCCTCAACTTTCCGGCTGACATCATGGCGCGTCTGTGCGTGCTTGCCGGCGTCTTTCTCGTTCTTCATTGCTCCGCAGGTAACGCGTCCTGCATGCTCGTATTCGATTCTTCCTTTCAGTTGTTCAAAACTCAGGTTCGTATTCACTTCCATACATATACCATATAATAAGGGAGTCGGTAAAGCAATTCTAGTAGAGAATGCCTATATATTATTTCTCCATGAATTGCGATTCTTCACGGATCGCTCGCGGATATCAATGGCACGCAGAAACATGGGAGAGTTAGGCAGTAACCGAATGAAATCTGATGAAATTCAGAACCATTTCGGATCGATCATGTGCATCAATATAATAGTAAACAATATTGCAATATGGGCAAATAATGAGGATGCAAAAAAATAATGAAATAAAGGAATAACAATGTAAAAGGAAACTAATGAAACAATTGGTAAAGAAAGTCCTATTCCAAGAGGCAATTTGGGTTAAAACTTCAGAGAAGAAAAGCTTAGAGGAAGACATCGGACCCGATGAGCGGCTAATTCACCCTATGAAGGGGTGAAATTGAAATATGATATTTGCGAAATGGGTTGAGCCGAATTATGGGAAAATCACATTTCCTCACTATTGAAACTCAATCATGGAGGTATGAGATATGCTTTCTTAGCAATTTGCCCATCACGATGAAGACATGAGGGATGTTGCACGGAGGAGCAGCAGCATTTGGTGTTTCCACCGCTTCAACGCTCGGGGCGCTGCTGTCCGATAGTGTTTTCATGAGGGGTTCCTTTGGTTCTTCCTCGTGTCGTAGGAAAAGTATGGTTATGCGTCCTCTGCAGCTCCCTACCAGAATTATTTCTGAATAGTTCCCAATAGAATAATATATATAATTATTGAAATGCATCAGTTTAAGTAATAATAAAATAACTCGAGGGCTAGAGTTGTAGCGAAATTGAGGTCAGTTATGTTAACGATCATCGAACGGGAATAGACAGAAATATATTCCTCAAGGAAATCTCATGATCCCACTTACCCGATTAGTATTAGTCGTTTATCAAAGATAATACGACCTACTTCTGAAGCACTCACGTTATTTATTTAAAATAGGCAATATTTGTATATACCACTTTGCTTACCTCTCAGAAGACTTTCCGGTTAATCCATTGTTTTATTTATCGTATGCAGGGGATGACTCGAAGGTGTCATGCTACGTCTGTCGCCCGACCATCGGAAAAACCTCGGCGGATCGTACCAGAGCCCAGGAGATCGACAACTTGATCACAGAGACATTCGGGAACTTGTTCCCCATCCCTGAATGTAATGCCAGCCCGGACGTGTCTGACGCACAACTGGCCATGAAAGAATGCCGCTTCCAGAAGGAGGCCGTCTGCGTCAAGGAAGGAAACGGTGGGTCTATGGTGGGTGGGTGCATGGGAGAGGGGGGGGGGGCGGGACATGCATGCGAGTTTCTTGCTTCATCGGTTTGAAGACAAGGAGGTCCTTCTTAGACTGATTATCGTGACATGATGAATATCGACCTACTACGGCCGATTACTGGTATGTCAGATGAAGACCATGAAAAGAATTCCGCTTTCCATCTTAACATTAAATTGCACCAATAAAAAAAACAGACCCGATGACGTTCCATACATAACTCTATACATAACTATACATAACAATAAACATAACAATGATGCACACATGTTAGCAGTTTTCAGGGGCTACTCAGACACATATAAAATAGATGCCGTGCTCTGAAAGCGCATTAGCTGATCATTGGCGGACTCATAAGTCATCTCTCTATGGATTTACTAGTGAGATGTGATTCTTTCTCTGACGCGGCATCGGTGCATGAAAATCTTGCAATTAGAGACCTTTCAATCTTCAAGCAGTATATTGACGGAATGCATCTAAACATCATCCTGTTAGACCGAGTCCTAAACTTCCTCGCAGCTGGTTCGCTCATGAATGTGAACCTACGAATGAAAAGTCAGTATTCAGATATTAAGCTTTTCTTTTGCACATTCAGCAGACAAGGGAAATGCTCAATCTTTTGATATGTGATTTCCACCCACGTAAACAAGAACTATGCTTGGGCATGTCTTGCCTTGTTTCTGTGTTTGACTTGCACGGGAGGAGAAATCGTTGAAGAGAGAGGAAGTGACAGCAGAAAGAAT